AATAAATCTCATTATTTGTCTCTTTTTTGAACAGTTAGCTACAGTTGGTTTTTGATTTTCAGAAACATGAGGGGATCTTCAAAAAGTTTGTGGAAAACACATATACTGAAAAGACTATGTATAGGGCACTTTTTTAGGTATGCCAAAATAAACTCAGGCTTTAATTAAATATTTTCACTAATTTTTTGAAGTTCCCTGGTTAAAAAAAGTGATAATTAAAAAGTCCATTTTACAGAAGATGAATTTGGTTTTAAGAAAATTATTTATAGTGAGAAGACTGAATCCACCATGAGAGCTGAGATCTAGTGATTTCAGGGAAAAGAGCCATGAAGATGTTCTTCTGAGAATTAATCCTCCATGCACTGAGTGTCTAGACAGGTCTAAGTGAAAAGTTGCCAAAATCTGAATACTATTTGGGTCCTCATATTCCTCAACTCCCACTGAATCTGCAGAACAAAGGGAGAAAAATGCATTGCCAAAGAGTTTTCAGACCACATCCTCTTGTGTGCCTCTGATCACTCAGACTAATCTTTTAGAAATTAGGAAGAAATGAATAACACATCATATTAATAGAAATCACTGCAGGGGCACAAGAAATATCCCAAACCATGAAAATACCGATTTCTCAAGAGAAAATAATGACTCCTTTTCAACCACAGACAGTACAGTGGAGCTCATGGAAATGTTAGATAAAGAATTTAGAGTATTCCTAATGACTAAGCTAATAGAGATGGAAGAGAAGAGAGACAATAAGCACCAGAAGAAAAAAGCTGATGAGTTCCAGGAGGTGAGGAAGTTCCTACAAGAGCTCAAAGAGGAATTACACACCATAAAAAAGAATCGAAGGAAACTGTTGGAGATGAAGGCTATAATACAGGAAGTCAAAACCTCCTTTGAAAGTATTAAAAGCAGACTAGATCATACAGAAAATTGAATCTCAGATGTAGAAGGCAGAATTGCAGGACTAGTAAAATACAGCATGAAGACTGAGAAAATAGTCCCCAAAATGAAAATAATACATGAGAAATACTAGATACCATTAAACATCCAAACATCTAGATAATTGTATCCCAGAAAGTGAAGAGACTAATAAGGGCATTGATAATCTATTCCATGAAATCCTGCAAGAAAACTTCCCAAACCTAGGGAGGCATTCAAAGATCTAGATCCAAGAAATACAAAGGATCCCCAATAGGATCAACCCAAGAAGATCTTCTCCAAGACACATTACAGACAGAATGATCAAAACAACAGGCAAAGACAAGATACTCAGACTGGCAAGAGAGAAAGGTCAATTTACCTACAGAGGATATCCCATCAGGCTAACAGCAGACTTTTCATCAGAAACAATGCAATCAAGGAAAGAATGGGAAAATATATTCAAAGTGTTGAGTGAAAAACAATTTCAACCAAGAATACTGTATCCAGCAAGATTATCCTTCATATGGGAAGAGAAGACAAGAACATTCTCAGATAAACAAAACCTGAAAGAATTTACCGACACCAGACCAGCTCTCCAAGAAGTTCTGAAAGGAGTGCTATCCCAGGAAAACTAAAGTCAGACACACAGAAATAAGAGCTATCAAATAACTAAGAAAATGGACAGTCCAGAGTTGAATGTTATCTTCTGGAATTTAAACAGAAAGATCAGAGCACAACAGAAGATAAAGGATATGAGTTTGAACTGGTGAAATAGAATTTCATGACTTTTCACTAAAATATTACTGATCTTCTATGCTTTGTTTTCCAGTGTTAAGGAATTTTGTCTTTTTTTGAGTTGTGGACAGGTCCAGGTACCTACTATTCAAACAGAATCCTAACTTGTATCCTGGCTTTAAGTATTAAGCAAAGTTCTCTTAACATTTTTTGATTTTGATTTATTAAAGCTAAAATGACCTTTCTTGAAATTAAAAAATGTATTAAAAAAGCCTATTTAGTAACCACAGTAATCTATATAGCCTCAGCTATGTGCTATTTTATAGTATATTCATTTTAACCACAGAGTTTCATGCCTAAATTCAACTTTTGTTCACAGATATGTATATAGCAGCTGAACTTACTATTGAAGGTATTTAGATTAAGTAAGCTATTTTGTTAATCAATATAATGTGGGAAAGAATAAAGGAATAGAAAGCAAATGCAGATACCAGAGACAGGGTGGGAAGAGGATGGGAAATGGCAGAGGGTAAGAAATAGGAGAGAAAAATACAAATATAAGAAACAAGTAATGGAAAGTTATTTTATGATGATATCATGTATGGTTAAGCCACTTTATAGGGTATCCTGCTAGAAAATTGCATTTTGTATGCTGTGGTGATGTTCAGTGAAAGTATGTAAAATAAATTAATTTGTAAAAAATTAAAAAAATAAAAAAGAATGCATTCCTCCTCCCAAAAAATTATTTATAGTTTATATTGTCATGCAAAATAACCAGTAAAACTGGGATTTGAATCCAGGTTTCAGATAATACTATATTATTATTATTATTATTTTTTGGAGAGGTTTTCGCTATAGGGTGCGTGCGCTTGCCAGACAGACAGAGAGAGACATAGAGACAGAAAGTGAGAAATCAACCCCCAGGGGGGATGGTCACGCCGCAATCCCTTCTCCTCCATTCTCCTCTCGGGATCTTGGGCACGCATGCACATGCGCCCGGCATGAGTTTTAAGACACCGGGTCCGGGACGTGAACTGCGGTCGACTACATGGGAGTCCAGCGACATAGCCATTACACTAACTGCTGGTTCCTGATATATTAATTATTTTTAATAAAGATATCACACTATGTTGTATACTGTTTATTTCGTAAGATTGGCAATATCCCTTTTTTTCCCACTCAGTTGTGGTATGTCATTTCTTAACCCATTCGCCCCATCTACCTGCATTCCTATGTCTGTTAAATGCTTTTTTCCCAATACCCTCCTTTCTCTCCCCACTCCCCCCACTCACTAAGAAGTCTCTTGTATCTACAGTTGCCTTCTCTATTGAAGACATAGAAATGTCTCTTATGTCTTCAATGAAGTAAAGGGACAGCCCACAGAATGGGAGAAAATATTCGCAAACTATACTTCATTTAATATTTAAACATTCCTGTAAGATTGAGCTACTGTGATCGATAAACAATAGTGAGGACATATATAGTGAAAACTAAGAAAGATGAAATGGAACATTAATTGGACATCTGTGTTATATGGACCAGGCTAGATCATTTCTCTTTATTTTTTCATTCCTTAAGATAACTGTATGGGAACAATATTATTTCCATTTTACAAATAAGGGAACTGAAGCATGTGAATAACTTGTTGTATGTGGCAGAATGGTTAGTGGCTGAGTGCGCTTCTGAATCTATGTCTGTTGGATCCTTCATATGATAGTAGCATACATTTAAAAGTACAATGGAATCTGCCAAAATGGATGATTCCCTTACATCAGTTGTTGGTGAGACCCTTAGCCAGGAGTGACTAGTTTATTTTCTTTGTCCTAGTAATTGTTTCTCATTCTTGTTTTCTAATTTCTGTGTCAAATTCTGATCCACTTCTGTTCTCTAAGTGGCCCTCATCTCAAGAACTGGTATATGCCAGTTCCTATTGTGTTGGCCCCTTCTTTGTATCTTAGATTCCAATTGTACCAATTGTAGAGAGAAAGGAATAGAGGTGAAAGTTCTTTGAAATCCTCATTTTATGCCAAACACATCTTAGGTGTTTTGCATGTTTTATGTACCTTAATAGTCATAAAAATCATCATAATAAAGTAACCACTTTACTGATAGTATTTACAGTCCTCTTAATAACTGTCTGAAATTACCTTCACCTCCATAATTTATAAAGGAATAAATAGAAGATTATTTAACTTAATTAATTTAACTAAGGGATCACACCAAAGAGATGTCTCAGTTTTGGCTCAGGCACATATGGTTCTAAAGGAGATATGGAAAAACTATCCTAACTGTAGAGCAATGACGTACAAAAACCAGTAGCTACATTGGTTGAGAAACATGGTGCCCTTCCTCAGATAAACAAAAAACTTAGTCATGATCTATTATCATTACCTCTACTGTGTAGAGTAAGTTATTAAGATTGTGGAACTGTGGAAGATTTTGTGACTTGCCCAAGACAATTTTACAATTTTGGATGAGTCTCAACCAATTTCAGTCTAAAGTGAGTACAAAATTTGTGAAATTAGTAACAGGAAAATATATTCAATGGAAAAGTTAGATTGGAGTAAATTTGTTGTGCAAATATAATTAAATAGGAACTGCTGCAAGTAAATTTGTCACTTTTTAATAAAATGAATGTTTTCCATTTTAGTTATTAATGTTATTTACAGATGGAGCAGGTCAGTAAGTGGTTAACATTCTAGTACAGCTCATATGTCAATCACAGTCTTTTGTATGTGATCCATTACATTTATGACACCAACAAAATATTTTTAAAGGCTTTGAAAGATTAGAAACACAGAATCAAAAGATATATTAATTAGACTTCTAAACTCTAGCTATTGTTAACTGACCTTAATTACCATGAAGCTGCAGAAAATCACCAAAAACATACACTACCTGATAGCATAATACAGTTAAATGTAAGTAGGGGTGAATTTATTGGTGAGAGATATTAGAAGGGATGTTTTACCTTACACCGAATACACATATTGTAGGCAGGAAATGGGCTCTGGGTTATGGAAGATCAATGAAATGAGTTCTTCCTTTTAACCTTGACTCACAAGTACTGTTAATTCTGCTGTATCTGTGCTGTCGATTACTACTTTTCATACTTAAAATTTTTTGTGCTTCACACAGTCCCCTTTATAAATTCCACTGGACTAGCATATTTTTTTTTCCTGGTTTAGATTTTACTCTTGAGAATGGTGCACAAACACTGTATCAGAACTTTGAACAGGAAGATTCTGTAGGACTCATCCTATCAGAGAGAACCTTGAAGGTTCTGCTTTATGATGTCTCAAGGAAAAGACTAGTCGCTTACCTCTTAAGTACCTTCTGATCAGCTGCCTTTGAGCCATCAAGATGCCTATGTCTCCTCTGCCATCAGCTCTTCTTTCTCACATGATAGCTATTAACAATGTGCCTCCTCCTCCACTTCGCAATATACCAAGTGAGTGGGGCCTATTTTGTCAGTCTCATTCCATAGTTATTTTCAGTGGAACTTACCCCTAATAGAAGAAATGAGGCATTTGAGGATTGCTAAGGGTGTTGGGAATCTTATTGGCAGTGTAGTAAAATGGAAAGTAATTGGAGATGTAAATCCTGTTTTGTCCATCTAGATCCTGCTCAACTCCTTAAGTGTCTCTTTATTTTTATTTTGTTTTGTTTTTGAAAATGAAGATCTTTATGAATGCTTACAGCTCTAAAAAAATTAAGATACTTTTAAAGAGAAGAGAATAAAAGGCTCCAAACAGGTCTTATCCCCCTGCCTCTACTTCACCTCCTCTCTCTCCCTACTCCCCATTTTAGGTCCTGGGTTTCTGGAAGATCTTCTAGTTCTCCAGCAGAGTTGACCTTACCATTCTCCATAGAAATGAATATTTAATCCTCACTAACAGAATTCTTATTTCAGGTTTACAAAGAAAAAAAAAAAGAGATTTCCTATATTCTGATTAAAGGGTTTATTCCCAATTTATTTAACATTTATTTTCTAGTCTTTGGCTTATACTATCATAGAGATTATTATATAAATATAGAACTAAATATTTGAAGTTTATACAATTGAATTTTTAATTTTTTGTAGTCTAAACTCAGAACATTTCCTCAAGATTGTAAACACTCACTATAGCCATGAAATTCATGCATCTATTATTTGAACACCAATATATTGATCAGTAATGTGTAATAGTCTTAGTGTTGCTTGAGATTTAAAAAAGAATTTTAGGTAACAAAAATAATTCTTACAACAATTTTTACCTTCAACAAAGCATTAACTTCTTATTTTTATTATTCATTGGGTAGATATAGAACATTGATTCAAGAAACTAACTCTATCCATCTTGTTACTGTCTTATGAGAGTTAACTCTTCCAACTATATATTTTTAAATTAACACTGATAATCTCCAGAGAAAAAAGTACAAGAAGTAGTAGTTGATATTCTTTGAAATATATTGAATAGTGTTATACAAAATCCTATGTTAAACAGATTAATGCCCACATATGTTACTGTTATACATTTTCATGATTATTAAAAAAATATCTTGCATGTGGTCAAATTTTTACATTACTATTTGAGTGGAAATAAATATTTAATTTTGCCTAAAACCCACGGCTTCTATTGTTCAGGTTTTATTGTATAAAAGAAAAAAGAAAGTCACTCTAAGATTTTTTTTTTTTAAGCAGCCCAGAAAGCTCAGCATCTGGGAGTTAAAAGATCAAATTAATTTAGAATCAATGAGATGAGATATGTGCCACCCTCTGTAGTGTCTCCCAAGGACACTTAACTTCTGTGAAGTGATTAAAAGATGAAAAATCAGCAGCAATTTAGATCTTATAACTGAATAGAGCATAATGGAAAGCAGAGGAGCTCCCTATTTTCTCTTTAGACGTTCCTCCTTGATGTTCTCTCTGTGACTTCTCTTTAGAGACGTGTCCTGCTTGCTTAATAACTGTGTCTTTGTGCTAATTCGAGCAAGTCTACGATTCCCCTTAGCAAACTCTGATTGTCCTGCTGAGACAATTATTTCATGAAAACCTATGTGTAGTGAATGTTCTCAATCTATAAAATGACTTAACCTGAATTACAAAGGAACTATAAGTGGGAATGATTCAAAATTCAACAAGCATAAGAAGGAATGTTCACAGTATCAAAAAAGAAAAACCCCACAAAAATCTAGTCACTACATATATTCTTATTTACTCTGAGTTTGGCTGATTAGTTAATTTAGATTTAGTGACTCGTATCTATCCTCTCTGTAAGTATTTATATATGAATCATGTTTATTGAATGTTTTCTATGTGCAGTGAATAATCATTTTGCATGTTATGTTGTTATGTCATGTATTCTTCACAAGAACCGTCTGAGGTCTGTGGGGGCAGAATAATTACCCCCAATGATGTCCAAGTTTTAATTCTCAGAACCTGTGAATATGCTATGCTACATGGCAGGGGCGCATTGAGCCTGTAGATAGTTAAGAGCAAACCAGCTCATTTTGAGCTGTATTATTTTATACAATTTCCTGAACTATTCAGGTGCCTACCATAATTATAAGGTCTTTACAAGTGAAAGAGGGAGGCAGGAGAGCCAGTTAGAATAAGGAGATTTGAGAAAGACTTGACCTACTATGGCAGGCTTCAAAAGTGGTAGTGGGACACAAGTCAGAGAATGTGGGCAGCCCTTAGACGGTCAAAAAAACCCAGAGATGCATAGAGGTGGATTCTTCCCTAGAAACGCCAGAAGGAATTCAATGCTACAACTTGATTGTAGCTGAGTGGAAATCACTTCAAGATTTTTATCTCCAGAATATAATACAATTCTAAGACAATATGTTTGGGTTGTTTTAAGCAACTAAAGTTGTAGTAATTTGTTACAGCTGCAATAGAAAACTAGTACAAGTTCTATGTGACAGATGACGATAAAGGAGGCTTAGGTTTGGTACTAAGGTTCATCCAATTGTCAAATGGTTGAGGCTCTTCCTGGTACTGTGTAAGTGAACTCTCTACTCAAAACCTGCCAAACAACAGTACTTTGGTTTTCTCCTTACCCACTACTATGAAATCCCTTGTCCAGTTTTCTAGTTAAATAATGTATGTACAGTTGACCCTTGAACAAAGGAGCATCTAACCCCTAGATAGTCAAAAACTTATGTATAACTTTTGAGCCATATAAAACTTAACTATTAATAATTTACTGTCACCTGGAAGCCTTACTATTAAATAGTTGATTCATTCTTATAAAACTTAACTATTAATAACTTACTGTCAGCTGGAAGCCTTACTATTAAATAGTTGATTCATACTTACATATTACACTGTATATAATTGTAGACTGTATTTTTATTAAAAATAAATTAGAAAAGAATGTTATTTAAGAGTCATAAGGAAAATACATATATAGAATTATTGAAAAAATTTTCATATAAATGGATCCATGCCATTCAAACTCATGTTGTTTAGTGGTCAACTCTATATTAATCTCATTTGGCCATTTGGCTACTTAAGCACTATTGGTTTAAAGAGACAACATTTTACACACCTTCAGACATTCCTCCTTGGCTGTCTAATAGACTCTAAACCGGAGACTCGTAGACACTTCAAATAGTTAAGCTATGTGTGCCAATTTAGCATTTGTAGTCGTTTTTCTTTGAAACTTTCATGTCTTCTGTAGGCTCTCTGACCTGTGCTTCAGGATTCTTCACAACTTGTTGATACTAGGAAGGAATGTGTGTTCTCAAGAGCAAAACAAAAAAGTCATGCTGCTTTTTATTCTGGATGAGAATTATTTAAAAAATCTTACGGTTAGCAAGCTTATGGTAGTTCTACCACTTGAGTGAAAGTATCTGAACAGAGCACATCCCTGACCCATGACTTGAAAAATCTGGTGGTTTTAGAAATTAGACTTATGCGGGGATAGCAGTGGCATAGTGATAAGTTGATTTTCTGAAAAGACAGAAGGAAGAAAAAACAATCTAAAAAACTCGTTAATGGAAGGTAGGAAGCTGTCCTTCATTTGGCTTATGACCAGGAATAAAGTCTACTTGGCTATCTTTATTCGGGTTAATATGCTACACCTCTTTTTTTTTCAGACTTATTAGGCTCCTGAGAGAGGCGGCATTTAAGTATATTTTGCATTTTAACTACCACTTGAGTGAGAGAAAGCATTTCTTTGTTTTTACAGTAACACAATTGTTTAAAGCTCACATGGCATTTGCAGGTATGTTTTACTTGTTCCAACATATAAGGATGTAGAAGAAAAGAAATGTTCAAGAGAAGATCAGAAACACTTTAAGGAATTTAGAAAAAAGGACTCTTCAGTGAATGTTTATCTTTACACTTTCTTATTTACAACATGCCATTTACTGATATTAAACTGAACTATATTGGGCTGAGATAGCTTCTATACTCCGAAGCTTGAGTTTCTGTGAACTGACCACAGCCTCATTTAGAAGTCCACTTCTTTAGTAAGGTGCTGAGTTCCAGCCAATCACAGCAGCCATACTTCAGTCAATCACAGACAGCCCGCACTCTATATTGTGTTCTTATTGGCAAACATCAAGCTGTAACCAATCCAGTTATTTTTCTCCCTTATTTCCTCACCTCTGTTTTTTTTATACATAACTTTTCTCTTCCTACACCTAAATGTTAACCCACTGTATGGCTGGCTGGAGACATTCTGGGGACTGTCTAATTTTAATTGTTTTTGTTCAATTAAACTTTTCTAAATTGTCTGAAGTTTTCTTTTAACACTGTAAACCTAAAAAAGACTGTCATCATTTCTAAGACTTCAAAGTCTTTTTCTGAAATTTGAGAATTTTTTAATTCTTTAGTACTTAAGATGAAAGGAGTTTCAAACCATGTATTTATTTGCAAAAGTGAATATTGCACCATTTTAATGTTTTAAATCATTCAAATCCTGGGAGTACAGGTAAAAAAAAGAGAGGCTTTCCAGTGGAGAAGAGAAAGGTAGCAGACTGTATAATGTGTGAAGAAACAGAGTTAAAACAAAAAGAAGTAAAAGAAATGAGAATGGAACTTTCAAGAAAAAAATTAAGGGTGGAAAAAGATAGTTGAATGTTGTTTGCTTATTCTTGTTTGTATAGTCAATAACAGTTCCTATTGAAAATTACATCAGACAATTTAGGAAAAGAAGTATTTAAAAATTAGTTTCTCAACTTTACTTTTCAGTGAGAAAGTCACCCTTGTTAAAAAGATATTTAGCAAAAAAGGTGAATATTTTATTGAAGTAAAACAACAAACAGAACCCTAAACATTTCTTCTTTTTTAACCACTGTTGAAACTATCTCAATGTATCTGTACTTTTTGGTCAGACAATCTTGTGGCTTTTAGAAATTAGATTTATGGGGAGACAGCAGTGGCATAGTGATTAAGGTGTGGAATTTCCTCATGGCCGACTGAGGTTCGAGTCCTGGACCTGGTGGCTTGCTTTCTCA